ACTTTAAGACTTAGCATAAAAAGCATTTATCTAGTTAAATTTACTTTAAATGTTTGTATTTTTTCCTAAATATCTGGTACTAAGAACTATAATTTTGAAAACCAAAATTTCGGGTAAATTATTACCATCAGCGGAAAACTTACCAAATGAATGGTTTAAATAACTTATATTTTGGTTTATTTAATCCGAATTACGTTTCTTACCGGAAATGTTCCTTACAGTAGGTAATTTCACCAGATTTTTCTCCCTGTATATTTCATACCAGAGATGCCAACTGCTCCGGACACGCCAAAACAATGTTTAAAAAACGGTAAATAACTACAAAGTAAATTTTGCAAACATTTGACTATTTTTGCTTGATTTTAAAAAGGTATAGCATGACACAAGTACTAAAAAGTTGTGAATAATATAAGCCTACGAATTATTTAGAAATAGTGGTGGATAAAAATCTACTAAATTGAATTTATTAAACCAAGAATCACAATTGATAAACTACCACTTTAAAATATATATTTGCTATCCGGAGCAAGTCGGCATCTCTGTTTAATACTACACAACTCATAATCTATTGCTGAATTGCAGTTAATAACTGCAAAAATGACTTACCGTATGTCACAGTGTATAAGTGTACCACTTGTATAAGTCGATCCCGTATTTTAATTACGAGATACCAAATTTCTAGTATGTCGTAGTTCAGATGCGTACGCAAGGGAGGGGTTTAGGGGTTTAAACACCCCCTTGAGCTCAGACAAAATGGCAAAAATAAAAATTTTAGTAGAAATTATGCTGGCTACTATTTTTTAAGACTAAATATTTTTATTTGCCTTATGCGTACTTTTCTTTCTCACGGTATTTCTCACTGAAAAAACATTTACTATAATAGAGTTGTACTTTTGAAACCAAATTCGCGTGATACTGTTACGGGCTGGTTCCTTTCTGTCCTGCCAGTCGCGATAGTTTTCGAGATTGGCAGTCATTCGCGAGGTCTTTACCCGATGATTCTGGAATCCTAGATGTTCTGTCGTCTTGGAGACAATTCGAAAAGTTTGGAGTTGCGGTGAAAAATTATATAAAAGGGGGAACGGAGTACTGTGGAGTTAGTTAGTCAGACTAAGAGTTATCACTGCCGCTTGTCTTTCGGAGCTCGTAGCTAAAACTGCTTCGTTTTGTCTTAACAAAAAGTTAATTCAATCGCCGAACCCGTCGTCGCCACTATTTCGACTAGTGAAGAAATCAGTAACAATACCATTGGAGATACTGTGCTCGTTGAAGTTATTCATTCCAGCTCGAAACTTTGAGATCGTAGCATAGCGGATATTTCTATGCCAATAAATATATGTATATATTTGCTGTTCTTGGATCTTTAGGATGCCAAAACGCAAGAATTTAACAATTTTTAATCATTTTGAGAAAAAATCACGACCTGAAATTAGTGAGGTGACAGCATCTGGTACCAATGTAAGTTTTTCTTTTGAACAGAAATGTTATACCTTAGAAATGTTATCGAAGAAAACGTTTCTAGCATAACAAAATCTGATGAATGTGAAGTGGCCCTCAAAGTGTTACTTCCCACCCATAGGACATTGGACTTTTTTCTGAAGATATTACATGCGAGAAGATATTACACTATGTTCTTAAACTTAAAAGATCAAATCAAAATTTAACTAAACAATGCTGTCTAAATAAAAAATCAAAATCGTTAGCTGTCTAAATTAGGGAAATAATAGTGCTTTATTACATACTCGAATTTCTTTTAGTAATTTCAGAAAATTATGAACACCCCCCTTGAAAAAATTCTGCGTACGCCACTGTCGGAGTTATAATTCGACTGCTGAAAAACCAAAAACAAAACTTTCTAAGATTAAAAAAAACATAAAAAAAACTATAAATGCTACAAGTTTTTCGAACGTAAAAAATATATCACATTGTTCTTTCTGGATACTTTTCATAAATTATCTTACCTTTTTTTATTCTTAATTTTTCTTTTCTGAACGTAATTTAAAGTATTATTTCTAAAAAATGAAGAGAAAAAATTCAAAATTGATGGTATAAAAAAAGTTTTTAAATTGATTGTATTGAAAAAAAATTTCGAGAGCGAAACTATCCATGTTCTCTCTTATTGTTTACATCGTTATTTCACGATCAACGAATGTTCAACTTTATTACCGTTGTATACTCTGCGATATACGATATTTGGGACTCGATATAATGGGATATTTTTGGGATAATAAATGCATATATTGGATATGAAAAGTGAAAATAGAAACTAAACCAACGAATATAAAATTAAAGAACATTTAAAAACTCGTTTGAAAAATTTCGTACGAAAAATAAATAGCGAAAAAAGGCCTTTGAAACTGATGCGAACCATTTTGTCTCTATTGAAAAACTCCCTGGTTAACATACAAGCAATTTATATTCAAATTTTTTACTTTAAAAATTTGTACAGTTCGCAATTAATACAATTATTGTATAAACTATTTTTAAAACAAAAACTTTCATATTTTAATGAGAGAAAAAAAATTTATTTTAATATGAGAAAAGGATATTCGGGTACTAGCATTTCAAGAAGAAGAAGATCACGGATACCCATACAATTAACCTATGACGTCAGCGTTAACTGATCGCTTATAAGCAAAATGGAGTGATAACGTTGAACAAAGTATCTCCACGTGAGTTAAAATGTTAATTAAAGTGAAGTTAATTAAATACAGCACCGCATCGCGCATCAAATTTGTTGAAATATAATTCTTTCTCGCCTGCATCTTTTACTTAACTTAAATTTATTGCTTGTTAATGTATTTTATTGTAAACATGATATATTTGTTTGTGTACCTCGCATCTTTGATGCATAATTACTTTATGTTCTACATGACTTCGGGCTTGTCTTTGTGTTAAGTCAGAAATAGAGTGAATAATAAGAAAAAGAGTATAGTGAATAATAATAAGAAATATAATGAAAGAATTTAAATTTTTGTGAAAACGTATAAATTGTGTTACGTAAGAGAATTGATATGTGATGGGCTGGGATTACTCGAAAGAGAATGGAAAGAACATTAGCTAATGTAAACAAATGCCTTCTTTCTACAACCACTCAAGATCGAGATACCCACACTCCGTCACTTGCACTTATCCCATTCTTTTTTCAGCAAACGATTCCAAAAAAGGCTTAATTTAGATATCGTTTTCAAACTCTTGTTTTCATGTAAAATATAAATAATATGATAATTGGAAACCAACTTCGAACAAAAATTTGAGTAATTTTAAGTTCGTTTGGTAAAATTTGAGATTATTAATTTTACTGTTTATTTTAAGCAAAAAGTGAATGAAGTGGAAAAAGTGAAGTTCTATACACACTTTTCCAGAAATACAGCTTTAAAATTGAGAAGAAAAGAATATCATTTGTGAAAAAAGCGTTTGCATTTTCTCGTTGTATTTGAATGTTTAAGTCAGATTTATTTTATATTGTTAATGTGATGTAATATACTGAAGCTTTGTCTGGGCAATAAGTGACTTTACTTTCGTGACATGTTACTTGAACATATTATTTACATCTAAAATTAATCAATTATAAAGCTAAGAATCTAGATGTTTCTGCTTCAGAGTTTTGCGTGTTTAATTGATTTCAGAGGAAGAGAACGCACGAAAGCTGCTTTTTGCAGACGCATAGTCGTCACATAGAATAAAGCTATTTTTGCAAATAATATGCTGTGTTTATAACGTTTGTTACTTTGCAACATTCAGTTAAGAAAATTAGGTTAAATTTCGTTCTTCAGTAAATAATGCCCTCAATGCTATTTATAGAAATGGTGTGAACTGTCAATACGGAATAAAACTATAGTTTTGGGGAAAATTAAAAGTGTTTGTGCTGATTTTTTTAATGTTTGTAAAGTTACACCAATGTTTCTTCATTTAAGCTCAATAAAACTATACAGAAATCAGGAATTATTCGTTGATTTTAATAATTTTCATCCATATGAAAGAATCTTGCTCAATTAGATAATTCCTCAACTTACTTCAACGAAAAACTACTCAAAAAGTTACTCCAACCCGCATTATTAGGGCTCATAAAATTATGCTGAAATCGAGAACTATCCATTGATTTTAGTTGAAATGGAGAATTCTTATAGTTACTTCAACGAAGAAGTAGTTTCTCCAATGCTTTATAAAGGCTCATAAAAAATTTCAGAAATTTAAATTCTTAATGATTTTCATCTTGATGTAACAATCTTGCTCGATTGGTGAATTCTTAAAGCTACTCTGATGAAAAATTTGTAACTCCAAAATTTACTCTAACGTACATTATTAAGGCTCATATAACTAAGCTGTAATTGAAAGCTATTCATTGTTTTTAATGATTTCAACTAGATATAATCATCTTGCTCAATTAGCGCACTATTAAAGTTACTCCAAAGAAGAATTTGTTGCTGCAAAAGGTATTTCAATGCTGTATTATTAAAGCTCATAAAAAATAAGCTGAAATCGAGGGCTATTCATAGATTTTAATTTAGCTTTTCCTTAAAAAATTTAATTATATTTCTTTTTAATATTAAAATTATTTACCCATTTTAAAGCCCAGACATTTCTTTACAGAAAGATATAAATCCTTTAAAATTTAAGCTTTATGTCGGTTAATGCACTCCAACTGTGGCTTATTGTTTTAAAAGCGCCGTATAAATCCTTGAAAAAAATTGTAAACGGAAAAAAAACTAACATTTCATTTAATTCAACATCTAATTTTAATCTTTGTTTGTTTCCTCAATTTATTGAATTAACACTTTATTTAAGGGGTGACGCTTTAACCTTAACCTTACAATTTAGGCTGTGATGCATCACGCTGCCCGTTGACACATCTGCACCTCCCCTTGTTAAGAGAAACTTCAGATTCATAGTTAGTCTAGAAAAAAACAGTATAAAAAGAATAAGAGAGAAAGAAAAAAAGCATGACTCGAGCGAAATGGCTTCTCCAATAGTAAGCATGCATCAACAACGCCCTCTACTGTCAAAAGACATTCAGCGAAGACAGTTTTCCTAGCTTTTGCACATCGTTTTCAATAAACTGTTGCTAAAACACGCGGCGGGCTCTTTCGAACATTGAGGGATGCAGCGATGCGTGTTTCGTAAAAACAAAAATTATTTCCGTGTGGCACCGGTTCTTGTTTCTGTTTGACGGATTGGAAAGTAAACAGCACTCAAAAGGAAACATCATAAATTATTTTAGCGCTTTGAAATTATTATTTTTTCTTTGGATGACAAAAGGTATTTATATTTTATGTCTTAACTGAAGTTTTAATTAATAGCATTTTAATAACTAGCATTTTTTAAGAAATATAACTCCAGCATTTTTATTAATTACTGTATGTTTTTATATTATTTCAGTGTTGAAAAATATCTATGAGTTTTAATCAAGTCCATAAATATTGACAGTAATATTTTCTCTTTAATAAAAAAAAATGTAATTCATCGTGGAACTGACATTAAAGTTATTGTTAATGCATTGAATTTCATTAATTTAAGCTTTTTTTTCATGATTTTAAATATTGTAACTAATTCAAATTGTATTACTTAAATCAATTTAATTTAAATGTTGAAAATTTATTTTGAATTCGCTAATTTGTTTTTAAAAAAATATGTTCTATTTAGATCAATACTAGTATTTTTTAATTTGAATAATAAGTTTATTTAATAGTTGAATCATGGTTCAATGATTGAATTGAATTTCAATATTTATTTTGAATTCCAGCAATTTATTGATTGTCACAATTTTATCTCAAGTGGTACAATAGAGAACAATTACAATTATATAAACAGCTTTTATTCTGATTCAGTTTTATCGTTATTTAAAACAAAAATTTAACTAAACAAATAATCTATTTAATTTTATTATTTCATATCTGGGGCTTTTATCATTATAACACCATAATATAAAACCCCAATAATGCATCACCATATCGTTTCAGAGTTATAATAAAAGTTTCTGTTGATTATATGTCATCCTATGAATAAAAATAAAGGTAATTAATAATTGCTTTTTAATATAACACGATTTCGGTAATGATCACAACTAGTTAGTTTTAACTAATCAATTAATAAAATACTGAACCATGCTTTATTTAATTGAATAAATTCAATCACTAACTACACAAATAGCAAATAAGTATTTATTTCAAAACCTTTCAGTGCTTTCGGTATTCATTTATTTCAATTACAATAAATATGAAATGAAATTGTATCATATAGAGAGAAATGTTCCCTTATTTTTATTAACAAAGTTTTATGTAATTATTTTGTAAAATTTTATAAATGAATTTTTATTAAAATGACTGAAATCCTTTAAAAAAATCTGTTGCATTTCATTCATCTTCTCTTGATTCATTAATAAGTAATTATTTTCAATCATGATATAATAATTAATATTAAATATTATCTAAAAGAGAATTCGAGCCAGTTATAAAATGTTTAATACTTACGTAAGTGTAATGCGTAAATAGAACGTAAGAATAAGTACGTATGAAAAGCTTAATTAAGACATCTTTGAAAGGAAATAATCAATAAAAATGTATTTTGACTCAAGTTTTCATTGCTAAATTTTCTATTTAAGGAAAATTACTGCAATATTCGAATGTTCAAAGAGGAAAGAAATTAACTCCTCATTAATACAATAGTCATTTGACCTTACATTTTTTTTTCTTAGCATTTAGAAAAAGCATTTCTTGTTACATCAGATATTGATTTAGGATGACCGATACGTGGAAAATTGAAAGACAGGCCGGTTGATGATCGATTATTATCTGAAAAGTTTATTCTTGATAACAAAAGCCTCAAATAGGAATGTTTTGTAACAATTTTATTTAATATTGCATTGGAAAATTTATTCTAAATTTACTCTTATCTACTAGCAACGGACAATTGTGCACTATTAGAATTTTTTTCTAGAATTATGGAAAAATAATCGGCAGTAGTCTGTCCATCTAATTTACCGTAAAATTTACAGTCAAAAACAATTTTCACTGCTGCGTTTTGAAAGCGTTAGCAACTAGTATGGTTACAAAATAATACAGTTTCTTTAATCATTTACAACTAGCATGGTTTCAAAACCGCAAAAACTTAATTTAACTAGGCATTGGAGATAGTTTAAGCAACTTTACGGTGCTGCCATATATGCATGAATGTGAGTATCGTATTCTAATAGTCCAGGTTCACAAATTGGGGAGTGCTGGAAACTGGAAATTCTTCATGAATGAAAGAAATATTCTGGTGCCATATCTGGGAATCGAACACCCGTTCTGTCGGTCATGAGACTGACAGATTAACCCTCTACGCTATAATATGTACCCTTTTGCAAGGAACTAAGTGGCTTCATTAGATGAGTCTAGTTGAAGCGATAAAATTCCTGTTGATTAACCATATTAGGTGAAAGCGATTACTAAACATTTTCTAACAGTTAACAGTTTGAATGGTGTTTTATTTATGGTTATTTAAATGTTTTGTTTGAATGCGGTAAACTAGCAACCAAAAAAGTTGTTATTTAACCATTTTTTAAGAGAAATTTCTAACAGTGTGCTCGTCTGATATCATACATTTGAATAATTAAGCAGATAATCATTAAATTTTAAGTATGATTAATTACTTTACTTACCTTCAGTTTTTTTTCTATTTAAGATGCATTGAGGGCTAAGTTTCTTCGACTTATCATCAAAATGTATGAATCAATCAAAATACATCAATCAGAATTAGCCCATCAAATACAACAAATGCGTTTTGGAGTGTAAAACATGTTTTTATAAAATTCGAGATTTTTTTTTTTACCATACTTTTCGCTTACGTTTACTTATGACTCAAATAAACACCTGCTCTCATATGACAATTTGCAGGTGTTTATAAAGCGTGTTACCCAAACTTTTTAATTTATATTTTTATACCAGCTGATTTAAGATACATCTCCAACATGAGAATTTCATCATCTCCTGACGAGAATTAACATAAGCTTGCATGCCTCACTAAACAAGCTTTTTCATCCACGTTTCCTGGTTAAACTTTACAAAAATTATGAAATTCGTTTTGATTTGTCTAATTCTAAACGACTTTTTAAACCAAAAAAATCCTAAAATCTCTTTATCTTTTTAAAGCATACAATACAGGCTCCCTACATGTATTAACATATATAAAAGGTGGTCTCGTCAGTTTAAAGCAATTTTACTTTTAGCCCATTTCCAAACAAAATAAAGAATATTTAAAAAGAGAAGGAAAAAAACAATTTTCAAATGTAATGATAAAATTGGGACATAGAGCCTAAAATCATGTCAATTTGCATCCCACAATTACTTTAATAAAAATGCGTAACTTGAAAAATTATTCCGTTTTTTACACTTTTTGTAAAAAAAAAAAAAAGTTTTGAATCAAAAATGTAAATAAATTTTTTCGAAAATTTTAATGTCTATTTTTTTGTTTAGTCATGAAAGAATGATTATCAACCACTGAAAGTTTCATCATTGTAATCTAGGGTTCGATCTTTAAAATATACGTACTGATTAGGTGAAGTTCGGCTTTTAATAACAATATAAATTTTTGTTAGCAAATATAATCTTCATTTTTAAACACACATAAAACTTTAGTAGAAATACTTATGGTATAATGTTATTTACGTCATTGGGATTTTGCAAATTTAATCATAATTAAAAATTAAATTTTATTGTATGTATAATAACATTTTATTTAAAAAATTAAAGATATTCGGCCGAAGAAACGAATATTGTTAAAAAAATAGATTTTTCTATTATCTATTAGTACACTTAGAGAGAAAAAAAATATGGTCAAAACTACCAGAATGTGACAAAATTTACAGTGTTTTTGGCTCTATGGGAACACCGAAAAGGAATTTTGCAAATTTAATCATAATTAAAAATTAAATTTAATTATATGCATAATAACATTTTATTAAAAAAATTAAAGATATTAGGTTGAAGAAACGAAAAAATGATTTTTCTATTATCTAATAGTACACTGAGAAAAAAATATGGTCAAAATTACCAGAATATATCAAAATTTACTGTGTTTTTGGCTCTATGGGGACACCAAAAAGCTCGGTAATTAATCTAATAAAATTAAAAATAAAATATAGTTTTATAATATGTAATTACATTTGGTAAATGTAGTAATATTTGTTAATTTTATCATAATACTTTAGCTTCAGAGCATGGCATAAAAACCATTTATTCTGTTAAATTTACTTTTCAGTAATGTATTTTTTTATAAATAATGAAAATCAGAATTTCCTATAAACCGTTACCATCTGAAAGAAAATATTATCAAAAAAAATGGTTTAAATATCGTTTTATTACCAGAAATAAGTTTTTTTTTAAGGAAATGTCATTGCCCTTTAGTAAGATAGTTTTACTTGACATTTTTTCTCCATGCAAGATGTAAGCTTTTGTTTGTCTATCTATTATTAAGTCAGCTGATTACTAGCTATTATTAAGTGATGAATATTAAGTTATTGGTCACTGAGGACAATACCATTCGGGCGTGAAGAGGACATCTTAAACTGATATCGTTTAGTGAATGTAATATAACGTTAGTAAAAAGAAGTGGTCCGAATCACCTGAAAATATTATGTATTTTTATAAACATGATTTTATAATGATTATTAATAATGATACATGATTATTAGCATGACAGCCCTAGATTCTATTTTTTTAATACAATAAAATATTAAGTAATAAATANTTATAGGTGCGTACTTGATAAAGACGGTCTCACTTACTTACAATTCTTCTTCAATTTGAAAAGATTTTGCTTCACCTGTTAATATTCTATAGATTTTCTTCATTGTTTGAAAGCCAGTGTAATAATGAAAATTGATAGAAAATAGTAAACATTGGAAAAAATTAACAAAAAACTTTAAAAAATGCATTAAAATGCAAAATACGTCCCAAAATTTAAGGAAAAATGCCCTATAAATTTAAAATTGCTCTAAAAGACAAAAAATGTCCAAAAATGCAAAAAATGCAAAAAAATGCAAATGTCATCAAAATCCGGGCCTTAATTATTAATAATGACAATACCATTCGGGCATGAAGAGGACATCTTAAATTGATATCGCTTAGTGAATGTAATATAACGTTAGTAAAAAGAAGTGGTCGGAATCACCTGAAAATATTATGTATTTTTATAAACATGATTTTATAATGATTATTAATAATGATACATGATTATTAGCATGACAGCCCTAGATTCTATTTTTTTAATACAATAAAATA